TTAAGGATTATATTAGAAAGCCCAGGGCCAAAGTAAGCTAAGACTAAGGCAAACTCTGTTTAGAGTATAGATCATGATATTATTAAAAAATGAAAATCTCATTTAGCACCATGAAAAGTTTATTAATATATTGCTTCTTGCATCATCTAATGTATATTTTAAAAGTATTTTTCTAATATTGGAAACTATAATTATAACTTGCCGGGATTATCTTGTTAAAAATAAAGGTCATCTTAGCTAACGACCTTTCAATTCTAAACTTACTAACTTGAAAGTTATGACTTAGCTCTTAGTACTAAGAATAGTTGCAAAAGCAAGCTCCATTTGTCTTTATCATTAGTGCTCAATTATTTTATTTGAATAGAGCTTGATTTTAACTATTCATAATTGTTTCATTTTGAGTAATTAGCATAACATCAATTTTTACCAAAGGTTTCATTCAGATTTAGATTGATCATTTATGAATTTCTTTTAACGCTTCTTCAGGTGACCTTAGAGATTTTGATGCACTCATAGCAATATTCGACATCTAAAAATCATATTATTATAAACTGTATTACAATTGAACTAATTTAACCAAAAGTTATTTTTTGCAATGCTTCATCATGTTGAGTTTTATACTGAAGCCTTTGGGAAGATTCAGAGTATATTATTTAGTTGACTCTGGATTGAGTATGGACAATAACTGTTCATACGTTAAGATTAAAAACTAGTGCATTATAAAATTTGAAAAGTATGATTTAATTAACTTTTAAAATGGATCATTAACTGATCTGATTCATAATTGCTAATCTAGATCATTTGGAGTCTATTTCACTTTTATCAGTTGTTTCTTTTGAATCAAAATTTTAACATTCTTTGAGATATATTTAATTTGGTTTGATTGGTTTTTATTAGCTGATTAATGAGCTGGGAAATATTTTAAAAAAAGGATTATACAAAGCTGCTGAAGCGTTTTAAGGACATTCAAAGGCAGTTGTAATTTTTTTTAAATAAATACTTTGTTTGGTATAAATTTTGTACAAAAAATTTGCAAAAAAAATATTATAGTGATAAAAATGAATAAATAATTTGCATATAAAAAGAATTATTTTTCAGCAACAAAATAATCAATTGGATCAAACATTAAACGAGCTTAAAAAGAAGGACGAAAAATGTAAAAAAGGATCATAGATGCTGCAGAATCGGTAAATGAACTTCAGATTGAACAAGAGCTCTCACAGAATCTCGAAAGACAACGGAGTGCGTTAAAACTTCAGTTAAAAGTTTGTGAAGACTATTTTGAATGCTGCTATGAATCTGAATCGAAAATTTAAGTTTACAGATTTAATATTGTAATTTTTTATCTATTTCAATATGCGATTAAAAACTGTAAGAGAAGATAAAATTATTAGTCATTTGAAGTTTTCGTATTATAGATGTATTTTTTAATTAATTGATATTTGAGTCTAAATGTTAATTTACTAGAAACTTTAATTAGTAATTACAGTATAGTCATGTATTTAAAATTTAGACTTTATTGTCACACTTGAAAATTATATTCATAATTTCATTTTACATTCGTCTTGACGGTTCTCATCAATTGTGCTTTTGAATGATTTTTTAATAATATTTTTATTAAAACATGAAATTATAATGAAAACTTGCTATTTTATAATTAAAATGCAATATTATTATTATATAATTATCATTCTTCAAATTATTATCAAATCTATAGTAAGACGACAAAATGACTGTTAAAATTTAAGGTAAAAAATGTGTAATTAAATATGGAGGAAAATGCGCAGTTTTAAGGAGATGTAAACATGTATGGATAAAACAGAAGGATTAGTGCTAAAAGGTGAAAAACGTGTATTAGCTAAGTTGGATCAACGTGTACGTGATCTTGAATTAGACTCAACGGAAGAATCTCGACGTCACACAGAAACGCTCAAAAATTACCAAAATAAAGAACGGAAAGTGCGCGAGTTGGAACTTCAAGTTGACGAAGCAAAAAATTCAAACGAACGAATGCATTATCTTGCAAAAAACTTGCAAGCAAAAATTAAAACTTATAAGAAGCAATGGGATGAATTAGTTAGTCACTAAATTTTTTGAATAATTTATTAAGTTTTGTAATGAAAATCTTTACGTTTTAAGTCAATCATTTTTAATTATTTTTCTTTGTTTTGTAAATAATTTATAATTATTAAAGCATTTTAATATCTATACAATCATTTGTATAATTTTGCTTCAAAATTTATGCAATTTTAAGCTGAAACCTTAAAATTTAGATAAATATGCAAAGAAAAATTAATTAATTAATAATAAAATTTAAATGAACATCAAAATTAAAATTTTCTATATATTAATTTATTACAATAACTTTTCAATAGTATTAAATTTAGGAGCAGTTGGCAGCTCAGAATCTAAGTATTGACAAATGCAGCATATTCTTGAGGATGTCGAAGAACGTGTTGATATTGCTGAAAATGCTTTAGCTAAAATTCGGGCTAAAAATAGAATTGCCTTGCAATCTAATGCTTCTATTACCAATTCACGTTTCAGCAGCTTTGTATAATCCTTTTTTTAAAATATTTCCCAGCTCATTAATCAGCTAATAAAAACCAATCAAACCAAATTAAATATATCTCAAAGAATGTTAAAATTTTGATTCAAAAGAAACAACTGATAAAAGTGAAATAGACTCCAAATGATCTAGATTAGCAATTATGAATCAGATCAGTTAATGATCCATTTTAAAAGTTAATTAAATCATACTTTTCAAATTTTATAATGCACTAGTTTTTAATCTTAACGTATGAACGTTATTGTCCATACTCAATCCAAAGTCAACTAAATAATATTCATATGTTGCAGTGGAAAAATATTTGAAGAAGCACATTCAATATACGTATTAATGATAATAGTTTTCAAAGTTATGAATCGTAAGCACAGATTTCTCAGAAATACTTTTAAGGTGGATTTTAGCTGAAAAAGAATTCTTGCTTGAGAATCTTCAAGAAATTGTTGCATACAAAAAAATTTTGTGGCGTTTCGCGCGGTTTCATTATTATCAAAATTTCGTGCATTCTCGTAACTATTAAAAGTAATTTTTAAATACAATACCTAACACGTGCTTTTTGAACAGAATCTAACTGCTGGGAAAGTATTACCACAGCGTCGTTATGTTTTTTACGTAAGCTAGCAAGAGCTATTTCTGCCTTCAACGATGTATCATCCTGAAATTCTGTACATAAGCACTCAATTTAGATGACTATTTTTCATGAATATTACCATTGTAGTAGTCTAGCTCATTAAGCGTAAAATAGAATTTGCATGCCACTATTTAATTTCATCAAAAAACCTTCATTAACTGATTCTCAGGATATGTTTTATTTGAAAAATAATATTTGCTGAGTTCAAATTACATAAAAATGTAATTTGCATAAGAACCTAATTTAATTTTTTATTGACAGACCAATTTTTGATGCAATTTGTTCAGTTCTGCTTCACGTCTCTTGTTAAGCTCAACTTGCACTTGCGTGATCCCACTTGCTTTAGTTAAGTGGTCACTAAGTTTTTCAAGTTCTGCTTGCATTTCACTACGATTTTTTCCACCTCAAAACGATTAACTGGTTGAGATAAGAAAAGTGATTCTAAAAACTATATCGTGCTAAAATATATGTGTGATGCTCAGAACATCATTTACACAATGATAAGTTTGTATGATATTTTATTAACATTATTTATCAAAAACATTTTTGAAATTTATAATTAGTTTACATCGAAATTTTTATCTCTAAATTTGAGATTGTGCTTTTTAGCATACTTTTACTTTCAATTAATTTTAAAATTAAGTACAGTTTAATTGTAATAGTAAACTGATCAACCTTATGTCTTGTTTGTCGCTCAGCTTCAAGTTCATGATAGCGTGATATTTGTTCATTCATTTGATGCTGTAGTTTACTCAATTGTAATTGTTCATCTTCTCTACAACTCATCATCTTAGCCAATCCAACATCTTTCCTATAGACATGAATTAGAATTATTTTTAATTAAATTTTTACCTTATTTTATTTTTTGCCAACAATTTGATCACACTGAATTTAAGAACTTAATTAATTAAATCTGATACTACCATTAATCAATTTTATACTTCAAACCAAAACTTATATATAAAATTAATGACCGAAAATATTAAACTTGTTTTTTAAAAGCGTGAAGGTTTACTTTTTTATTGTAGTTTCTGCGTCATGCTTTTGTTTTGCACATTCTTCAAGATTTTCCTGCGCCATTTTTAATTATCCTTCAACTTAACGCTTAATTTTTTCAGCATCATAGCGTAAACCTCGTTCTCGTTCCACATCATCTTCCATTTTATCCAAATTTTGTTCCAAGGTATTACATATTTTATTTAAATAATTTAATTTTTCCTCTTTCTCTGGATGTCTTCTACAAGCTTACGATTAACCTGTAGAAATTTAAAATATGTTTTATTGTCATAAAGTAAAAAACTTTATCTAATTTTCACACGTTCTGAAAATGATCTCCAATTCGTTATGCAACAGCGTGCAGATAAGATCCAATTTAGAGTTGATATTCAGAAACTAAACTGAAATGTGACATAATGATTTTTGAACAATTCAAAAAAACAAGCATTTTCTCGGTGCTTTTTGTCTTTGCCAACTTTTACGAGCATTTCATTTTGACATCTAATTTCAACCTTAAAATAATTCAAATTTGAAAACTTAACAATTAATAAATTTGTAAAAATTACTTAAGTATGAAATTAGCGGCAAAAAAGATTGCCAAACGGTTTGAAAATTCAAAATTTACCTGCAAGGACTGAATTTGATAATCTTTACTTTGCTTTTCTCGATCTATTTTACTACAAGTGCCTTCTAAATGAGCCATTGTACGCCTTAAAGCTTCATTATCATAATCTAACTTATTCTTGACTTTCATTAAACTTGAATATCTATCTTCCGGCTCTGCCAGTTGCTCATTCAACAAAGTAAACTATAAATTTGAATTCAAAAAGTCACGTTTTTGTTTGGCTTACAAAGTTAAAAGCGTTAATATCTTAGCATTTAAAAATCCAATTAATAGCAAATAACAGATCGCTAAAGTAAGTTATTCTTCTACAAAATGAAGACTTGCTATCAAATTAAATAATATTCAATAAAAATTAATAAATTAATTAAATAGATAAGTAAGATTAAATAAACAAACAAACAATTCATATTCAGTATGTTTTTCAAAAACATTAAAATTTTAGCAGTAATTTTTTTTAAAACGCATAAAACTTAGAAATGTTCATTTATTATTAACAAATTTTCATTGTTGCATTTTTTACGATGAAGTTTTTTATGAAAATTTTAAAGATTATGTAGCATTTTACTTGTTTTTTAGTTTTATTTCTGATTGCTGAAAATTTAGCAATTTTTTTTCTTTTTCAGTTTTTGCATTTTGTTCATGTTGAAATTGCGCAAAAAGTTTTTCATTTTCAGCTACTAATTGCTTCAAATAGGATTCTGAATCCATTCGTAATTTTTCTTCATGACTCAAGCAATCTTCTAATTTCTTTACTTTTTTTGTTAGGGCTTCAAATTCTTCATCCTGCACAAATTTTTTTCCTGCCAGTTCACAACGTCAATATCATTGTTTTGGTAGATGAAAATTTGCATAGTTCAAGATATACATTAAAACCATAGTAAAAAAGATGAATATTCTTCATTTTATTTCAGAAAATAATGTGTGAAGTTAAAAATTTTCAGAATTGTTAGATTTGATTTGAAATTCCCTCTTCAATGATTACTTTAGTTTAAGGTAAAATGAGCTTAAGTGATAAAAGTTCAACCTTTTTTCTCTCTATTATTAACAGTTTAACTTGCACATACAATTTAAATCATTGCCAACTGCACAATATACGAATATTCTTTTGCAGTAATGTCATACCAATTCTAAAACTGTTATCAAAAAATCTCTATAACAATCAATAAAATTAATCAAAAATATATTGCAATTAGTTTCTAGTTACTTACTTTTGCTGAACTCTACGTTGAAGATCAAACTGTGCAAAATAATATCTGCATGCATTTTGAAGTTTGGTAATTACAGTAGACAAGGCTTGATCTCGAAGATCTTCAAGCCTGGCCGTAATCCTGTTTTAAAAAATACCCTGCAATTGGAATGAAATTTTTTGCAATACTTTTGAGATTAATTTGTAAAATAATAAAAAAGTTGGTAATAGTTGAAATTGTATGCCCAAGTTAAACCTTTAACAGTAAGTAAAAAGATTAAACTTAAGTTTATTTTAATTTAAACTAAAATAACCATTGATAAAAAAAGTTTCATTTTTAAAAATTTTGACTTTTAGTTAACTTAACTTTTAATAAAGTTTTAATTTTCAATTTAATTATGTGTGAAAATAATAATTATTAAACATTACTGACCTGATTTCTTTTTCTCATTTGGTATAATGCAACGAATAAAGTGTGAATAAGTTTTGTAAAGCACTGCCATCAAGTTGCTCAATGATTCTCGATATATCATGGAAACTGTCATAAAAGATGACGATTTGCGTTTCTTCTTACTACATTTACCTTCTTTTTCTATAAATTTGAGGTATAAAAATTTGATATTATCATTTTAAATAAGCATAATTTGTCAAATAACAGCATACTTTCATGTAAAATTAAATAATTAGTGATATTTGTTCATAATATCTACCAGTCATATTATAAACCTGAAATTGTTTTAAGGATCAGTAAATTTTTGCATATTCAAATATTTAAATTGCTCCAAGAATTTATAACTGCTTATTGCTATTCTGAAAATCGTGTCACTACTTTGTTTGTTTACCATATTAATAACTTAATATCTTAATTACAATAAAATATTAAAATTGTTTTATTCATAAACTTATTTAACTGATCATTGAACGTTGTTAACTTTGCTAATCATGCGAGTTGATTAACTAACCTAGATTAGCAATATCTTCTTGTGTTTTATAATCATCCCAAATTTGGGACATTAAAGCAATACCAGTATTTGCTTTTAATACACTGATCACTGAATCATTTAATGGATCTTTATTTTTTTCCAGCCAACTGGTCAGATTGTAACGGACAGTACCCGCATAATGAACTATGGCTAAGTGAGCATCAGCCTAGAATGTGCAAAAATTTAGATAAAAATTGAATTTACAATATGGTCTTTAAAATGTATAATGATTAACATAAAGTGTTAGGCGGGAAAAATTTGAAATTTTTTCTTGCATACTAGTTTCTGTGATAAATGAAATTGAATAAATGCTGACTTGTTTTCCCTTTGGCGGTTTTGGTTTTGAAAATTAGGATGCTTTCCAAAATGCTGGTCATCTAACTTCTGTACTAGCGTTAAATCACTTGCTTTAGGCACAATACATTCTTCATCAAACACTGAAATAATTCCAAGTGGCTTAAAGTTTATTCTTATGCAAATTTTTTTGCACTAAATAATAAAAAAACTATAGAATCTATTTTTGTTCAAATTATAGTACTAAAATTAGCATAACATTGAATCACTTATGCATAAATTGTTAGCAGTTATCAAATTTTTCATAAAAATAATCAGTACAAGCAGTTATGTTATAGAATTTAAATAAATTTGAACTTAAGCTTTTTCAAATTGTATTTTATTGTGAGCACTTTTGTTAACTTATCACTTCTACAGAACATCAAATTAAGTAACGTATTTTATTGTAAGCACTTCTAATACACTTATATTTTAATTACTTCTACATTCACTTACGTATGAAAATATTTTTTGCTTAAAATTTTTTCAGATTCTTTGCTATACTTTACAAGTTAACAAAATTAATTTGTAGACAAGTTTTTTCTTCAAAGTGCAATTTTGATGGATAAAAAAATAAACTTTACAAGTTTTTTTTGTACAATATTATTTTTATTCAACAAAATACCTTCTCAGTAAGTTCAATACAAGCTTGAAGATCTAAGCCAAAATCATTGAATTCCCATTGAATTCCTTCTTTCTGATATTCTTGTTGTTCCAGTACAAACATATGATAATTGAAGAATTGTTGTAATTTTTCGTTTACAAAATTAATCCATAACTGTTCAAATGAACTGAACTGAAAGTCAGTCAAACATTAAATTTCAAGCCAGTAAAAGGATTCGTAAAATGAAACAGTGATCAATTTGTCAGAAAATTTACTGTCAGTACATTTTGTATTCAAATTTTTAAACAATTAAGAAAACAGGTAATCAAGAAAATTAAAAATTTATAAACTAAAGTTAATTTTAGATTAGACAAGTATTTTTTTTGAATTAATTATTGTATTATGAAAATTAAGTCTTAATATTGATATAGTTTTTACATCAAATATCTCGAATCCAGCAATATCCAGTACTCCTATAAAGTGATCTCTACTACGATCTTGCGCATCCAAAGTTCCGTTGCATCTTTTGATGAGCCAAGCGAACATCCGAGCAAACATTGCCTTTGCTAAAGCTCCCAATGCCAAATTCACTTCAACAATGCTATCGGTTTTCAAAATTTAAAACTAGTTTCTAATTTAACCTTTTTCTGAGATTAAGTTTCATCTGAAATTATTAACATATACTTGGTCTATTTGTAAAAAATTAAAAGTTCAAACCTGGTCAAGATTCTGCTCTCTACTGACCCATTCAGTGCCAACTTTAACTCGAGGTTTAGCCATGAAGATATGAACTTGTCTTTATCAACCATTCATAGCTTGCACGCGAGATCACCTTCTGTAATTACTTTAATTTATCCTTATGAATTTGTTATCAAACTAAATTAATGAAGTTTCGGAATCAAATTGATAAAGATTGTTTTAAAACGCCGATATCAAACTAAACGACTATTACTTAAAAACTCCATTTTGTTTAAATTAATTTGTTGAAATTATTTTTGCAAGTTAATTTTTTTCAAATTTAAAATTTTTATTTTATTTTTATGGAAAAAGTAGAAAGCAAAATACTAGTAGCTGAGCATATAGCATTTTTGTAAATAGTATTTTATTAAAGTGTTATGGATACATGAAATTTTCAAACATTCAGTTGAGAATTCATTTTACATGAAATTTTCAAACATTCAGTTGAGAATTCATTTTACTTTCTTCCAACTCTGCATCGTTGGCACTACTGATTTGCCTTATTATATGAAATTCTAGCCGTCTTAATTAAATTTTAAAACATTCAACTACATAATTAATCTGTAGCTAGTAAACAAAACCATTGATCTTTACATTCTGCTTGTTCTTCACGAAGTCGTTGCTTGAATTCAAGTTCACCCATATGCTAATTCCAGCTACCAAAGAAAACAGTCCGTATTTTTCTTGCTTAGAAAAATGCCTTATATCAAATGATTCCTACAAAAACTGTCCATTCCATAACACTTTAATAAAATACTATTTACAAAAATGCTATATTATCAATGAGAAATTATTCCATTCAAGTCAAATTATTATGAGTTACAGCTAATTTTTGAAGATAAAAATAAGAATATTATTAAATACAAGCCAATTACATAAGTTATTTGCATTTTTTTTAATCACTCACACCAACAATAGCAACTTCAGATTGTGAAATGAAGTGATATTCGTGAATATCACGCGTTACAAGCAATTTTTTCTGTAATTCTTTTATATTAAATTAATAAACTTCATTTGTAAACTTCTGTTTATCCCAAAATTTAAATGAAATATAAATTTCACTGAAGCTAGATAAAATATTTCATAAGTGTGACCTTTTAATCCAGGAATTTGTCCAGACATAATCTGATAAAAGATATGATAGCATCGTTCTCCTGGCGCTTGCTTGATTACTCGTGATTTCTCCAAGAGATCTGTTATTTTAAAGATTTGTTTAAATTAATTTTTAAAATGATATTTGTTTGAACTATAAATTCAAATTGTAGCAGACATCACATGAGGTTTTTGGAAATTTGTTTTATTTATAAAAATATCAAAAATTTGTTATATAACCAAACTAAATTTCATAGTAAAACGTAAGTTTAAAGCACTAGAAAGCAGGATTACAAATTACCCTAATTTTTTCCATTTTTGACTTTTTTTAAGGTTAATCTTTAAAATGATATTTAAAAAGTCCATGTTATGAAGGTTAATTTACTATACTGTTTTAAATTATTATAAATGTTACAGCGTTCGATATCTGTCTGCTCCAGCTAGTTTCCCTCCAACTTTAAAATGTATTCAAATAAGTTTTCCAAAACGTGAGGAGTTATTATTGCGGACAGTTTTTGCATTACAAAAAGCTTCCAGTACAGGACTAGTGCGTATTATTTGATCTTCTATAGAAGCTGATTCTTCACTATTTCCCAGATTTATACTGTAAAGTAAATATATAGTCAAATTTTTATATACATATCAAGTATTAATTATTAAATTTATTTAAATTTTTGGATGCTAAGCTTGACAAATATATATTGACGAGATGGATTGTTTATATCTAAAAATATTTCTATGATTATTGGAAACTTAAATGAACTTTTTAGTGACTTTGTATTATTTATTTATTTAGTGATTATTATTTGTAATATTCAACTATTTAGAAATTAATATTCTTGAAAATTGAGATCACAAATCTATAACTTACATTTTTTGCTATTGGATAAGTATATTTATTTCTATGAACTTGAAAAACTAATAATTATTGATAAAACTTGATATAAAAAATATTTAAAGAAATATTTTAAATATAAAAAGTATACTTGTTTGCATGAGTAGCGCCAACAATGGTAAAATAAGCTATAAATTTGTTTGTATTTTCTGTTTTGCCAGCTCCTGATTCCCCATTGATCAGCATGGATTGATTGATGTGATCTTGAAGATTTTTGTTCATAATTTTAGCAAAAAACATATGAATATGCTTGCAGACAGTATTTCCAATCAAATTTTGCAAAAATTCCTCAGATACAAGTTCTTGTATTTGCTATTCATTTTCAGACCTTACAATTTTATAAATAATCCTGTCGTAACTAAGTACTCAGTCACGTAATAAGCTTGCTTATTATATAAGCTAGATTTCAGTAAATAAGCTAGATTTAGTAAATAAAGTATAATATTGATTGTAGTTTAAAAAATTAATAAAAATTAATTTTATTAATATTTGCAAAGAAACTTGAGTTCAGTATGGTTACCGTTAATCATATTTCGGTATGCTTCATCCGAAACAGCAAATAAATGAGGAGGCATTTCATTTCGTCTTTTCCCAATGTAAAGTTTACAAATACTTTGCGTATAAATTGGCAAATGCTCGTAAGGATTGATAACAACACAGAATAAGCCTGAACAAGTCTGAAATAGTTTTTATTAATATTAACAGTGTATTATTATCAATTATCAAATATCTTATTTGATTTTATATTATCAAAAAATCAACGTTACTTTCATTCGATAACTTATGCCTATGGATTGAAAAAAGTGCGCAATTATGTTTATAAACTACATTAATATTATAGATTATAACAATTATATAATGCTGGAAAAGATTTATTTCTTTTAACAATAAATGTGCAAACAATCATTTTTCTCAAAAAAGTATGCAAATTTCTTAAAATACCAAATAATTTACGCAAATATTCATAATTTTTAGATATTTTCCTAAAAATTAAAAAATATATAAAATTAATCAGAAATGATTACTTTTATCTCAAAGGTGTTTGTAATGAAAAAAACAACTTGTTTTTGATCATAAATCAACTTTGTGTCATTTGATAATTTATTTGACTATCAAAAAATAATATTAAAAAATTTATGCTTCTTTTGTTTTCTGACTGTTATGAATTTATGCATTTTTAAAACTGCTATCAAACTAAAAAATTCATATAAAAAAGCTGAATATATGCAATTAATAATTGATAGCAAAAGTGTAATTAATTTAATAATCACAAAACAGAACAAGTGAAAAGTATGATTATAAGTGTAATTATTAATAGCATTATTAATTATATTATTATATTATTAGTTAATTATTTTATATTACCTTTTGTAATAAAAGTGTAATTATTAATATAACTTCAGAAACTGGCGCAAAAACTTCTGGTGGATGTAAAGAAATCAATTAATTGAGCAAAAACTTCCGAGCATAATCAAGCAATCTATCGTTTTTATAATTAAAAATCAGTGAGTTTTACGCAAACTGATTGTCTTCCTCGCTGTTTACAGGGAATTAAGGATAAAACTCACAGAATCGGATAACCTTTCTGTGATTTTCTTCAAAAATCCAGCCAAAACTGTCAACAGTTCATTTTCTTCTACCGTTCTATCTACTGGAACTTCTGTAATTTACTTCTTCTCTGTTCGAAATCACCATAATTCTAAAATATAGCACTGATTAGTACCTAAGGTGCATTTACAGACGAACTCAACGAATTTTTCAATCTCAACCAAACTAATACCTATTTTATTTTGATTATCAAGAATCAGACAGCTGTTGTTGACTAACAAACAGAGCAAAATGCTTGCCTTTTTTTTCAGCTTTTGTCGTTTTTTGAAATTATATCAGCACTTCGATCTTCACGATAGCTTCTGTATATTCGGAAAGCCATAAATCAGAAGCGTTCAATGCCTCTAACTTTTCCACTTCCTCTCTTTCATTGCACCATATGCTCCCCCA